AAAGACTAGAAGAAGGAAAAAATGCCTAGAAAAATATACTACTTAATTGCCAAACTACTAATAAATAATTCAATTGTCAAAACCTTCCAAAATCTTTCTAGGAGAAATTAAATAGATATTTACTTACCCTAAATAAATTGGCAAATTAATTACGTTTGAATTGATTTATATTCAAATTATACGTTCCAAAAATATATGGATTTGTTTATTACGAAACTATGAGCTCGTGAATTCATTTCCCACTCCTAATTTTCAGTGGTAATTCCATATTCTCATGCACAATATGGCTTAATTATTTTCCAGCCATGAATGCACCAAATCAATCCTAAATCCAACATTCAATTACAATTTAAAAATATATATATTTCACAAATTTCTTTAATTTCCATGAGGGCACAACCTTTTCAGGCTATAAATATCACAAATTTTTGTAGGTTTAAGGCGAATAATTTTGCTGGAGAATCATTGGTCTGTCTTTGCTTTCTCCAAGTATGAGAAACTCAATCAAAGGAAGTTCACTGGTAGCCCTAGCAATGCTGTTTTCCATGCTGCTAATTCCGAGTGAGGCTGTTAATTCAAAGCCAAAAACCTATATGGTTGGGGACGAAGAGGGTTGGGACTTGGTCATCGACATGGAAAGCTGGACCAAAGGGAAAAACTTCCATGCTGGTGATATTCTAGGTATAAAATTAATGCTATATATAAACTATTATTATATATAATTGTGTCGATAATTTTCATTTTTAAGTTTGAGAGTCGTTCTTTTTTTTTTATAAATCTTTTTTTATATGTATCGAAATGTATATCGAAAATTAATGGATAATAATTTTTATGTTTAATTGGAATGCAGTTTTCAAATACGATTCCCAGCGGTTTGATGTGGTGATCGTAAATCAACGAGGGCATGACTCATGCACTGTTAATCCTGGAGCTACAACGTTTGGTTCAGGAGATGATGCAATCCCTCTTGCCTTCGGGGCTAATTATTTCATTGATAGTGACCATGATGCCTGTGCTGGTGGAATGAAGATGGCCATCAACGCCACCGCACCACCCCCAGCAATTTAGTTTTGATATTTTCTCTTTTTTTACAAAGCAAAACGTGTTGAGTTTGCAACTATTTTAAGCCTAAACGTTTGTAGTTCTGCCTTATTTGCTTATGTAATTGCGGTGGTACTCGAAATTAAGTCATTGATTATAATTAATATATGAGCATTTGATTTATTAATTAGTATATGATATCAGTAAAATTTAAATTTTTTTTATTTCAATTCAAAAATAAAAAAAAATTATTTATCATAACTAGTTGGTTTTCTTTCTTCTTTTTATTCCTTCCTCTCTCTTTTGTTATGCAACAAAATAAAAAAATATAAATGGAAGAAGTTCAGAAGAAAATACTACTAGGAACAAAAAATTAAAGGTTTAAGAGTAAAATTAATCTGAATTTTTTATATTTTGTTTTTGAGTTAGGATTATTTAATCTGTGCGGAAGAATTTAGCTTTTTATATATTCAATATTAAATTTGACCTAATTCGAGAGTAAGTGTTTTCTTTAATGAAGAGGCTAATTGAAAAACACTGAAAATAAATTTGTTTGCAAGTTTTGTTTTATTTTTCTATAATTATTAAATTTAATATTAATTTATATTTCCTTACTATTATCTCATCTAAATAAAATTGAAAGTTTAATTCATCAAAGATCTCTTCCCTAAAAGAAAAAAAAATTATAAAAGTTTTTATAATAGAGGTAAATGGGGTTTTAAAATATGATTTGATTTCTAAAAACTTGAGAAATAATATTAATAGTGTAAAATTTATGCAAATAAAAAAAATTAAAATAATATTTCATTATATATATTTGGGCCCTATCTGTCGTTTCAAAATTTTGGGCTGTTTGGATCACTTTTCTTGACAAAATTACAAAATAATCACTTAAAAAGATTCACAGCATTATAAAATCAATTAGTTATTTTTATTATTTTATAACATCACCTACTTTTTGTTTTTAGATACTAATAAACATCACCTGCTTTATTATTGAATTTTCTCCTAATAACGGTTTTGTTCATTGCACAAAGTCAAAACTAATTTATTGAAAATTGTATATTCTTTTCCTAATAAATTTATTTAATTACCATGTTAGCATTTTATAGATAAATGGTTACGTGGCTATAGGTTTTTGTTGAAAGCTAGAATGTTCTTATCTAAATATTTGATATAGAAAATGTGTCAATTTTGTAAAGAATCCAAAGTGACAGAATGATGTATTCCCATTTTCCAAATGGAAATATAAAAATAATTAACTTTCCAAAAAACCTAGCTACCAAGTTCATTGTTTTTTAAGTCTCCGATCTCTATAAAATGCATTACCTTGTTTTCAAGTTTACTAAGATTCATTAACAATAATAAGTCTGAATATTGCTATTTCACAAAAAAATCTCGTGTAAGAAAATGAAGATGGCAATTATAAGCAGCTCAATCCTAGTCCCTGCAATCCTAGTTTTGATGCTTCAATACGAGGCCATTCATTCAGCGTCAACCACCTATATAGTCGGAGACGAGGAAGGTTGGGATTTATCAATTGACCTGGAAGGCTGGACTAAAGGGAAGGATTTTCATGCCGGTGATATTTTAGGTATATACATCATTAATTATCTCACAATATTTGTATCAATTTTACTTGTCAAAGTTTTGTACTCTATTTTAAGATTCAAACGTCCTTTAAGTTTCCCTTCAGAAAAGGAATTGTTCATTGATGACTTACTATTGTCTTTGGTTTATTGTAGATTTCATATACGATCGAGTACTGTTCAATGTGGTAGTGGTCAATCAAACAGGACATGACACATGCACAGTTAACGACGGAGCCACAGAGTTTACTTCAGGAGATGATAAAATCCCTTTGGCCTTTGGAGCTAATTATTTTATATGCAGTAAAGAACCTGGTGCTTGTGCCGGCGGAATGAAGATGGCCATCAACGCCACCGCACCACCACCACCACCATCAAAATAAATATTACATAGCTATTCATTCAAGAACTTATCTTGAATTTAGCTATTTAATAAAATTTTAATTCACATGTTGTTTCTCGCTCAGATTTATCTGCAAAAAATGAATAAAAAAATGTTGCATGTTCTCCATAAATAAATTTGTTTTCTTCTAAATTAGCTATCTAATTTTTTTTTTTGCTTTTCTTCTCTTTCCTTCCCTTACTCTTGTCTATTTGATTTCCAATTGGATTACTTTTAAAAAATTGAAAGGTGCTGACGGATTTAGCTTGTTCCCTTCCCTTTAATGAGCTGAAGTTATGCTTTCTCTTGATACTAGGCAAAAAGAAAGAAGCATCCAAGCCCTTTTTCTGTACTACATATTTTTTGTTAATAATTTGATCTCCTCTATTACATTAGAGGTTCTGATTAATTTCTTAATCAAAATGCATATGGGATTTGAATTTTTTTCGTTTTGATTAATCACTTGTTTCATTGTCTAGTGAGAAAAAGAGACAATTTTCAAAAAGAAAATGTTGTTGGACAAGAGGATTTGGATAATTTAATTCATATGCAAGAATTCAGTTTCTATTCTTTTATATATATCTTACGTCCAATACTCGATTTGATCCAATTGGGACAACTTTTTTTCAATAAACCAAGAGGTTAATTGAACTTAAAGAACATTGAAAAAGATTTTTAAAAAATAATTTACAAGGATTGAAAAATAAAATTGTTAATGTAAATTTTGCAAAAAATAAATATAAAAATTATGCTTCAGTAAATGGTTGCAAAATGGTTTTTTTTTTTAATTTTCTACTGCCGAAACCTACAATATATATTTGAGCCCTATCGGTTGTCTTAAAAGTTTGAATTATTTGGACCAACCCAATATAAGTTTGAAATTAATGGCACTAGAATTAGTTTTTCCTTTTATTTGAAGCAGTGTGATCTCTTTTACATAGAAAATTCAAACTATTCATTAAAAAAATCATAGTATTCTAATACTAATTAATTATTTCTATTAACATAATTTACTTTTTGTTTTTTGATATTATAAAATGCTACCTGCTTACATTATAATTTTATTTTTAATAATTATCCCGTACATTACACGAGATCAAAACTAATTTATTGATAAAATATATATAATATTTTTTTTGAAAGGCAACATATATAATATTTTTCTAATATTTTTGTTAATTACCATTTTAGCATGTTACAGATAGATGATTAGGTTATTGTATATTTTTGTTGAAACCTTGAGTGTTCATATGGGAACATTTGGTGTTAAAAGTTTGTCAATTTTGTAAAGAATCGAAATTGACAAAATGATATATTAATTCTTATTTTTCATGTGAAAATATAAAAAACATTGAAACATTTTATGGATAATAAGTGGTTAACAAAATCTTTTTTCTATCCAAAAATTACAACAAATCATCTATTATGGTCTTCCAAAAAAGAGATGCCACGTTCATTATCTTTTCAATCTCCGCCCTTTATAAAATTCATTACCTTGTTTTCAAGCTTGCTGAGTTTCACTACTAACAACAAGTTTGAATATTGCTAGTTTACAAGAAAATGAAAAAGGCAATTAGAGGTAGCTCAATCCTAGCTCTAGCGATGCTACTTTTGAAGCTTCAATATGAGGCCATTCATTCAATCCCAACGACCTATATAGTTAGAGACAAAAATGGTTGGGACCCATCAGTTAGCCTAGAAAGCTGGACTAGAGGAAAGAATTTTCATACTGGCAATATTCTAGGTATATACATCATTGATTATCAATTGATTTTAGATTAATCATGTAACATGGAAAAGTTAATTCTCTCACAACAGTCGTTTTAATTTTTTTATTAATATTCTATACCCTATTTTACTAATATGGGATTCTTATTTTTTTACTCTATTTTTTTTACTAATATTCTATATTTTATAAACCCACTACCCACTCCTTGTTTTACTAATATGGGATGCGTACCACATTGCCCTCTCTTTTTCATAGAAAATTACAAACCATTCAATAAAAAAAAATCACAGCATTATAATATCAATTAATTATTCTTGTTATTTTTATTAACATCACTTTTTTTTGTTTTTTGATACTATAAAATATTAGTTGCTTATATTATAATTTTATTTCTAATAATGGTTCTATACATTGCACGAGATCACAATTCATTTATTGATGAAACATATATAATCTTTTCCTAAGAAATTTGTTTAATTATCATTTTAGTATTTTATAGATAAGTGATTGGGTGTCCGAAACTTTTTATTGAAAATTTGAGTATTCATATGTGAATATTTGATATTAAAAATTTGTTAATTTTGCAAAGAATTGAAATTGACAGAATGATATATTCTCATTTTTCACGTGAAAACATAAAAATTGTTGAAACACTTCATGGTTATTAAATGGTTAACAAAATCTTTCTTCTATCTAAAAATTATAACAAATCATATATTATTGGAAAATTATTGATTTTCCCAAAAAGAGAGTTTTCAACTTCATTGTTTTTTTCATCTCCACCCTATATAAGATGCATTAGTTTGTTTTCTAGCTTGATAAGTTTCACCAACAATAAGAAGTCTAAATATTACTATTTCACAAAAATATCTTATACAAGAAAATAAGAAAGGCGATCAGAGGCAACTCAATTCTAACCTCAATAATGTTACTTTTGATGCTTCAATATTAGGTTATTCATTCAATGACAACTACCTATTTAGTTGGAGACAAATGTCACCGACTTACATTTTTAATCCAAAAAACATGTTTCATAGGTTTAAGAAGGCCTTTGTTTATTAATCTAGGACCTACTTTATTTTTTATTGATATGAGATTTGTGATATTTTACCTCACCTAATTTTATAACACCTCTGATACCATTTATGTAAAGACTTTAGTCTGCTCTGATACCACTTGCCATAGGTTCAAGTTTCTAATGTAAAAAACATGCCTAATTGGTTGAAGAATGTCTTTATTTATAAATTTAGGACCCACTTTATCTCTTACTGATATGAGATTCATGACATTTTACCTCACTCAATTATATAATGCTTTTATCATAAGGGAAAAGGACACTTATATTGGTCTGAGTCTATTTTAATCTTGGTATCTTTTATGAGGTCTCATATCAGTGAAGATTTGGATCTGCTCTGATACCATTTACACTATGTCTACTTTGATAGCAAAATCCACCATATTTTTTATTGATATATGATTCATAATATTTGACTCCACCTAATTATGCAACATTTCCATTGCACTGACTCTTTAACTATAAAGGAGGGGAACCCTCACACTGAGAAATATACAACCTTTTATTTCTTTAGCTTTCATTTTTGTGAGATTTTAGATTTATTTAAGCTCTATTTTTAAAGTATAAGACCATACAAAGCTTGACTTAAGCTTTATCACGTGACAGTTATCACGAAAAAAATATAAAGCCTTCCATTTCATTAGTTTCAATTTCATTAGTTTCATGGCTTGGCTTAAGTTTCAGCATGTGACAGTTGTTAGGGACTCATGTTTATCACTTAAAAGATATGTTTTATAAGTGAAAGAAGACCTTTATATATAAAATCAAGACTCACCCTATCTCTTATTGATGTAAGATTTGTGACATTCTATCCCACCTAATTGTGAAACGTTTTCATTGCACTGACTCTTTTACCCATAAAGAAGAAGGATTGTACTTTGGTTTGAGTTTACCTTGATCCTAGTATCTCTTATAAGGTCCCACAATAGTGAAGATTTGAGTATGCTGTGATATCATTTGTTATGAACTTACGTTTCTAATCCAAAAAACATGTTTGATAGGCAGAGAAAGGTTCTTATTTTTAAATCTAAAACTCATCTTATTTCTTACTGATATGAGATTTGTTACACAATGCTTTCCATTTTTCATAGAAAATTACAAACTATTCACTAAAAAATAACCACAACATTATACTATTAGTTAATTATTCTTGTTTCTAAAAATGGTCTTGTACATTGCACGAGATCAAAACTAATTTATAGATAAAACATATATAATTGTTTCTTAATAAATTTGTTTAATTACCATTTTAGCATTTTATAAATAGATAATTAGTTGTCTTTAGATTTTTGTTGAAAACTTGAATGTTCATATGTAAATATTTGATATTGAAAATTTGTCAATTTTGCAAAGAATTGAAATTGACAGAATGATATATTCTTAGTTTTCACATGAAAATATGAAAATCATTAGAACATTTCATGGTTAATAAGTAGTTAATAAAATCTTTCTTCTATCTAAAAAATACAACAAATCAAATATTATTAGAGAATCATTGATTTTCCACAAAAAGAGAGCTACCGAGTTTATTGTTTTTTCGATCTCCACTCTCTATAAAATACATTAACTTGTTTTTAAGCTTGATAAGTTTCACCAATAACAAAAAATCTAAATATTGCTATTTCACAAGAAAATCTCGTGCAAGAAAATGAGAAAGGCAATCAAAGTTAGCTCAATTCTTGCCCCACCGATGCTACTTTTTAATAATTCAGGTCATTCATTCAGCGCCAACCACCCATATAGTTGGACACGATATTGATTGGCTCCCAACAATCAATCTAGAAGTCTAGACTAAAGGAAGAATTTTCATGCTAACGATATCAGAGGTATATACATCATTAATTCCCTCGCAACAGTAGTCTCAATTTTAATTGTTAATGTTCTATAGTCCATTTATATTCAAACATTCTCTTAAGCTTTTATTAATAAATTTTCTCATATATATAACGAGAATTGTTCATTGATGACTTGTCTTAATCTATTGTAAAATTCATATACAATGAACAGTTGTTAAACATGGTAGTGATGGATAAAAAAGGACATGATCACATGCACAATTAATGACAAATCCATAGAGTTTACATCAAGAGATTATAAAATCTCTCTCGCTGGCCATCAACGTCACCGCACCACCACTGTCATCAAAATAAATACTACCTAGTTTTTCATTCATGCACTTATGTTGAATTAAGTTATATAATAAAATTTTAATTTACATGTTGTTTATTGCTCAGATTTATTCCGAGAAAAACATATCAATAAAAGAGAAAATTATTGTATGTTCTTCTCGCCTAATAGTAAACAACCCCATGGCGGCATCTCACAATGGATCGAATTTTTCCTTTTGTCCTTTTACCCAGATTACTTCTTGTTGGTGAGACAATACTGGTCCAGGATAATGGAAGAACTTAATGAGGAATTGGTTTATTCAAAACGGCAATAGTTGAATCAAAACATAGATGATTAAGATGTTGGAATCTGATCTGATATGAGACTGACCTTTCTTGGGATTGGAAGGGAAAGGGTAAGCATGGCAGACGATTAAAGGTGTTGATGGGAGGGGTCACCTTTCGGCCTAAAGGGGACACAACAAGCCAACAAATTGGGCTTTCAATGTCCTCGTTCCTCAAACATTCTTTACTCTCTTTTGTTTTTCCCTTTTTCTTTCTGCTTCTCCTCCTTCCAACCCAATCATAAGCATTGAATTCCATGTTGTCTAGTGATCATATATGTTTGTAGTGCAAGGAGCTCTATACATGTAAAAGCTATCCAGTGATTTTTTGAAAATTCATTCTTCCAATTACTAATCGAAAAATAATTAATTGAAAGAATCTAACATTTTTTTTATTATTTGATTAGATTGTCACAAATATATATTTTTTGAATTAGAAAAATATCAATATTCATCAATTATACAAGATAAGATTCAAAGGTCATCTAACAATATTTTTCACGTGAAATTGATCTCAAAAAGAGAGGAAAGTAGATGAAAAACGTTTTACTTTTTTTGCAATGTAAGATTTATATTACTCATTTAGTAAAAGTAGATTCTTATTAATAAAAGAAAAAGAAAAACCCTGTATTTTTAACTAAGAAAAATTGTTAAAAACAGTTTTAACTTTCATGATTTCTCCATTAAAACCTTTTCAACGAGGAACATGGAAATGCAAGTGCAGAAATAATGGGTGTTGTGTACAGAAAAAGACAGGAATTCCCAAACTTTCTACTGCTGAAATTTTTGATGTATGTGATGGTGCAACCTCCACTAACACATACTTTGAGCAAAAATGGAAGTCTAGGATATGTAGCATTTCCAAGCATAGTGCTTCTGGGAATCCAAAGCCTAACCAGAACAAGACCAAAAGACACTGAGAGCCATTGACAGTGGAACAGGTGTTCACTGCAATCATGAAAGATGCTTTAAACGTGGGAAGTTACCATCTCTACCATCATTATATACGATGGAAAAAGGTTAAGGAAAAGTCGAATTTTTACATGCAAATATGGCTGGTTTCTAAAACTCTTGTGGATGGTTGACTTGTAAATTAGCAAAAAGGCAGCTCAAGATATGGAGCAAATCGACAAAAGTTACATGTCAAACCTGGTAGAATTCGTGACAAACAGCTAGCTATCAGAACTTCTCACGGGTCAGAAAACTCCAACCTCTCTCCAATCCTACCAAAAATTGACCTGGAAAAGAAATTTGAGGGTTATAATGGAAATAATATGCAATCTTGATAAGGATTACATTAGTTTCCCACCTGAAAAAAGGGCAAAAAAAAGTTAAAAGATAAAGAATAAAAATGGATATGCAGGATGCTGCATAGATGGCCAATGAGAACCCAAAGCAAAATAAAGATAGGCATGGCCTGCAAAACTGGGATTGAACAAAAAGCTCTAGAAAGCAGAAACTGTTTCTTTCATAACAGTTCTCCTCAACATCAGAAAGCTAGAGTTCAAATCTTTAGTGTCCTAAATTCAATTGCCGCAAGACAAGATAGAATATTACCGTGTTGGAATTGTAGCATTTCCAGCATCCTCGGGGCTCTACCTGAAGCGCTTCAGAACTGTCTTTTAAGGTTGCGGCAACTAGAAAAACTGAACAGAGAATTGAAAATAGAATCCTAGCTAGCTTTAGCAAACATCTGACAGAGAAGGGTATTTCATTAATATCTCATAGGGTTTCTCAGAGAGAAATTTACAGAGTCTGTTTGACATACTGGCCGCCTCCAAGATCTATGACTTTGAACTGGGGTAACATGCATGAAGCGTTCATGGAGGTGGACAGAATGCCAAATTGGCTCTGCAACAAGGCCTCTGAGAACCCCTAGATAAGGTAGAAAAAAAGAGAGAAAGCGAAAATTTAGTCTAGAATAGCTGGAACTTGAAGTAAAAGGCAGGTTTGTACTAAAAGGAAATGGAGGAGAAGAGTTGATTAATTTGGGAAATCGTTGGTCATTGGCCTTTGGAAATACTAACAACGGCTTTATGTAGAAAGAGGGGGTGCATGAGCGTGCATGGTGTTGTACGACCTGATGGATGCGGTGGGGCGTTCCCTTGTATTTGTTTTCTTAGTCAATATTCAACTGTAATTGCAAGCACCAAGGACTAAATCTCACTGCTTTCATGGTTGTACCTTGGAAAGAAAAATACCCTTGGTTTTGACGATGCAAACCCAACAGTCTTCAGGGTACAGCCTTAACAAAGCAACAAAGTTTTGCAAAGTTTACGTTTGATAGCAGGGAATTATGAGTTTCTTTGACAATGGGTTTGTGTGTCTCTCGTTGGGCTTTCAGCATGCTTTTTGACTTGCTGCAAAAAGGACGATGCAGGATGGGCTGTTTTTGTCTTCCACTCAGCCGGGAATCACTTTGTCAACTCAAATCTGAGTTCAAACTTTCAAATCTACGATTATGATTTTAGGATTACTCATAATTATGTGTTTTGTTTGTAAATGATTACTGTTTTCCTTAACCATGGTCCTTTCCAAGATACTGTTTGGGAGATTATTCCTTTCCCATTCTCCTTTTTGACAGGCCCTTTTTTTTTCTGCAGATGACAAAGCTCGCGATAAAGGTAGACCCAAAATGATTGAGAATTTCGATGATTGATTATTATATTTCCTAGTAAAGGCCTAGGCGCTGTCGGAGGAACCCTCCTGAATGCAACTGTCTGCTGTAGTGCATGCCATCATACAAGGAAATGCGTGTCAGAAAAGAAAGAGGTTTGGGATCGAGAGGAATCAACATTGTACAGCTCTAGTTCAAGCATCCTCCAAGGAAGAATGGGACTCTTTTTAACTGCTACAAGCATGCAAATTCAAATATTCTAGAAGGGAAAAAAGAGTCAAAAATTCTACTGCAATCGAACAACCTGAAAGGATCAAAGCTCAAAATAAGTACAATCAAATGTCCATGGAACAGGAATTTCATGAAAGCTTAAGATAAAAGGAAGTAGAGAACATGAGATCACCAAGAGGAAGAATGAATTTTGACATTAACTGACAAGGTAAATTTTACATTTTAAGATCTTTTCTTTGTCACTTGCTGTGCCTATGATGTCTTACAATAGTTTAACAATTTTATAACATATGAATTAGGATACTAGTAGCTAATATAACTGTATTTTTAGCCAAGCCATATCGATCCAAATAAAATTCAATTGCCCTCCTAGGCAGGTGGATGTGAGAAAAGAAACCTCGAGGGCTGAGAATAATCCTAAAATCCTATTCACACAAATGACCTGGCAAGTGTTTACTTTGCGGAACCATTCTCAACGGCACCGTCATCAGTAACAATTTCCTCAACAGGGTTCTGCTCTCCCCACACAGCTGCATCTAGATATCCAAGCTCAAAGAGCCAATCAAGAATATTATCATCTGCTGGCTCCAGTGCCCAATTGAAAAGCTGAAGTAGTTGGCAAACAAAGCTTCAGCAACTTACACTCAGGAAAAGATTTATTCTACACTGCAGAGCTATGAGATTACCTCTCTTCCGGTAGCCCTATTCTCGGGGTTGCAGTCTGGACTAATCCCAATTCCTTGCAATCCCAAACGACTGGCTGGAAAAGCACAAACACGGACCTGTAAAGACCATATCAGCCATCATATCACCATCAGGAGTAAACTTGTGAATTCATTATAGCAGACTATGTAATTTCCTGCCATGGTACACTAATTTTCATGCCATGTACAGTAGCTGCTACAGGTTCAACTGCAGCCCTTAATTGCAAAGGCAATTGAATATATCTTTGAATAATTCTTTAACCTAAGTAATTGTTAACTTGAATAAATACTAGCATCCATCCATAGTAATGAGATAGGCCTATCAACTTTTCACTTTTCTCAAAGTCGAAAATCTTTGTCAAAAGACTTTACTTCTAGCAGTTAATGTCAACAGCAAACATAAGTACAAAAAGCGAGTACAGTAACACTCTACAGCAGTATAAATGCAGGCCAATCTAATCCACTAGGCCTTAACTATATATGTGATGAAATGATCACAAGAAAACAGAGCAACAATGTTCAAGCTATTCCATGAGATTATCTTGTTCCTGCAAAACTTAAAACCATGATAAAATGTAAGGCAGATTAGGTATATGGGAAATGCTGTTTTCAAGTCCCAAAATAATCATACAGAATGCTATATATGGATCTTAAAACAGATTTGTCTGAATCCTCATTTTGCATCTCTAGTAAAAATACATTTCAATAACTTGTAAAAATACAAATATTGATGGAAGTCAGGATATTAAACTGCCACTTAAAACCCTACCAATTCCATTCAAAATCATTTAGGATGGGTTAATCATCCCGGTTTAGGACCAATATCAGATTGCAAAGTTTTTCAAAAAGAATGTCAGAGAACAATTGGTTTCCCAAAATTTTCTAAGCCAGTTTCAATTTTAAATGATCTCAAGCAAATACCGTCTTAGAAGCAGATGTTGGGGGCATAAATAATGTCAAACCCCCATCAATGCACAGACGATTCCGAAACATTGTTGCTGGCCGAGGAGCAAGATACCTGCACAGACCTATTGTATTAGAATAACTTCATAGCAAGCATCTCAATGGAGAACCGTGCATTAACCATTTACCCTGGAATGAAGGAAGATGTAATGACCGCATTGATGAGATCTTCCTTGGAGTCAAATTGATCCACCAGTAAACCCCTAGGCCTCCAAAGAATCTGAGTTACAGCAACTGTGATAATAGTTGTGGCTATAAGAAATGTTAATTGTTCAAAGTGATGCGGATTAGAAAGTCAAAATCAGTAATTCATGTAATGCAAATAGATTTATAACGAAACTTCATATGTTAAAAGGAGAAACTATCATGTCTTCAACCATATCTTGGCAACAAAGAATGACAGATTGCAGAATCTAGTGCCAAGACAACTGAAGCTATTGCAACACCCCTTCTTCACTGCACTCGAAATGTTTTTGTAGCCACTTCTATGCTTTAGACTATGCAATCTAGACCTCAGCAAACATCTTCAACACCATAATTGACCAATGCTTTGCATATTACTTTCCTACTGCAGCCTATCTACTTTTTCCTTAATACCAATTTGACCCAGACAGCTATCTCAATGTTATGATGATCTGAATGAATAATTCAAATAAGCTTTGATTGTCTGATGTAATAGTAAATTATCATCTGAATCTAATTATAGATTTGAAAATTTTGAAAAGAGCCTATGATTGTGGGATGGAGTTTACTTTGCTAGGTTGAACCATCAATGCACATCCAATTTCTAATGGAGTTTACTTTGCTAGGTTGAACCATCAATGCACATCCAATTTCTAATTTTGTTTTAAAGTATCATCTGAATCTTAAGTATAACGTATTGTTATTGATAACTATTTATAGATTTGAAATTTTAAAAAGCGCCTATGATTTTAGGATGGAGTGCAGTTTGCTAGTTTGAACCACCTGCCACAGCAAAAATCTAATAGTACTGAATAATATATTTGCCTATGATCTGTCCATTCACCCCATGGTTAGCACTTCTCTAACCAGCTCATTGTGCATTCTCAAGTAAAAGAGAAATACTCACCACGAACTCTCCCATTGGACCTAGTATGAACATCATGAGGCAGAAACTCATCAAGAACATCTCGGAGAACAGCCTGTTGATTTTTAAAAAAGGACAAGCTAATTCAAATTTCACTGATTAGAAGCTGATAAATAAACATGAAGACAATATTCCTGTTGCTACAAAACTATGAGTTTTTAATAACTTATTAAGCCACTAAAATATCAGAGCTTGCCAAAATTTGATTAGGTTACTTCAAGTTTTTGTGATGAATATCACGCAAGGTTAGGTTACAACAGTACTAGCACATGTGTAATGTATAGAAACAGACCAATAAGTGCATCAAGCCATATATACAGTCATTGTGTTAGGCATACCCCAAGACGAAATGCAGTCCCCTTTAGCCGGCAATCATCAGCTAGGATTTTAGTAGCTTTTAGAGCTTCATGCATGCTAGCTCCAGAAGCGATCACTGCACATACAATGGCACCAGCGGATGAACCAGCCAATGGGGTGGTTTCCTGCATCAGAGGGGAAAGGGAAATATCAGGTACGGAAAACATCTCCAGCGTGGTTAATGATGAAATATGCAGAGAGTCAGACAAAGAGTTTGCCAGTGTTCTCAAGAACTCATAGAGTACTGCCCTAAAAACCCCATTCTGCCAAAGCACTTTCTAAATTCAAAGATATACTTAATAAGAACAGGTATCTGAACCTTTTATTCTCAAGCTGTATCAGTGACATTACACCACTCCCAAGCTACATGAACACCCAAAAAACCCTTGATTATCTGCATAAACTCTTCTGAAAACTAGAAGGTTGGATTTCATGTGGAATGCAATTTGACGCTTTCATTCCAAATTGCCTGTATCTTTTCATCTCAGTTTCCCCCTTGGAAGTTGGAGCAGATATATTGTACCACGAACAGGGATGTTCATGATCACTGGAGTCAAGCAGGTGAGGTATAGCTCAATATCCAAACTGGACTACTAAACTCATTGACTTAAGAAAAGAATCAATGCTAAGAGAATGGTGATTCAATTAGATTCTCTGTTCTCTATTTGTACTTCCAATAAAAGATTAGTTTTCTATTCTAAAATAGACACCACATGCGTCCAAAGCCAACAGAATTCACCTGGTAATTTTATATTGCTTGATTTAAACTAAACCTCAAGGAAACCAAGATTCTTCAATCCAAATTTCTCTCAAAAGAAAAGACACTTGTAAATGAGCTTCCGTACCAATGAACATTGCATTGGAAACTTCAACATGCAAAATTAACAGAATTTAAACTCAACGCAAGAACAATCAAGCAAGAAAATTTCGTAAAATGAGAAAAAGAAAATGATGGAACCTTTATGTAACCCTTTTCAATGAGAAACTGAGCAACACCAAGATGATAAGGAAACAAAAGGCCAGCAGCAGAAAAGCTAAACCCAGGACTTGTAACCACTCTTCTTTCTTTCTCAGCTTCAACATCCTTAACTCTTTGTTCCCATATCACCTCTGGCTGTATCTCATCTTCCATCACCCACCCAATTCTCTCCTTATCATTGCTTTCACTACTTTCAAGCTCATTCCCATTTATTCTCTTTCTGGGTCTGTCAAAAACAGGGATACTTGACCCTGAATTTTCATAAAAGCTTTTCTCAGAACTGCTTTTTATTAACCTTGATGCTATTCCCAAGAAAAGCTCCCCTGTTGTCACGGCAAGAGACTTCTTTTCTGAAGAAGAAGAAGAAGAAGAAGGTCTTTCTTGTGAAGGAGGAGTTGTGATGTTATTTTTGTTCTTAGAGGAGTTTGTGAAGAACGCAAAAGTTTGGGGCCGTGGAGAAAGGGTGCACCCACGGGTGAACCGATGCTTGGTAGTCGAAGGAGAAGAAGAAGGGAAGGTGTGGTGGGAAAAGAACAGAGAAGAAATAGAAGGAGCCATTAAAGCAGAACAACGAGGGAAACCAATGGCGCTGTTTGGCTGCTTGCCGAACCTCATTTTAAAAGCTTCTTTTTTGGAGGTTTCGAGGTTTGATTAGTAACAGTAGTACATTAATTAATTATATGATTTTGGGTCTTGGCTATTGTTGGGTTGTGACTTGGAAATGATATCAATGTTTGAGACGGTTTTTGCCAAATAAAAAAGAAAAACCATGGCGGTTAAGAGGTCATCTGATGTTTACGAGGATTGCTTGTAATTTTATTTTTATCAAATAAGCATGATTAAGGATTGATTAATTATTATTAATTTAAAATTGATCTATTATTTTATATCCATGACATAAATGAAATAATTATTAATATCAATTAATAATTGCCTGTGAATTAAAAAAAAAAAACAAAATTCAACCCGCAATTTCTTCTTTCTCCATCTTTTGCTTTAAAAGAAAAAAAATTCTCCCACAATGAACTTGCAAATTACTGTTATACTAAATCATTAATTCCACTTTTTTTTTTTTTAATTTAGCTTTCCTATGAAAACTTTGGGGTGCTTAGTATCACGATAAGATAGCATTAGAGATCGGGCAGAAAGGAAGGGTTTGATGATCGTTAATGTTCTTCATCTGCAGGCTAAGCTGCTGAAAATTTTCCGAAATGCACTCCAAGCCTTAGAATTGAAACAGAACAGCAAATTAGTCTCTTGTCTGAACTTGGATCTTTGTCCATTGCAAGCTTCACCAGCAATTCATGTATGGTCGAGTCACAAGCTTTTCAAGAGACAATGATAAGACCAACAACAATAATAAAATCGCAGTAGTTGCGTCATACAATTTTGCATGAATCATACGTTTATACATATCTATATTTCAGTGAAAGTGATGGTTTGTAATGGTATTCGGAATCATTCATAGCCTGTTCAATCTGTTTAAATATTACTCAGATTGCAGAACAACTTACATTATTGACTCAAGCATCAGGCGGTACAGTTTATTCGAGAATAGAAGGGGATTCCTTTGTCGCCAACGAACTCTTTGTATATGCTATTACATCCACATGTCTCGACCATTTTAGCCTTTTGTAGCAGCTAGAGAGGTACCCGGTAAAATGGATCCGCCATTTTCAGTATGAACAAGTTCCCTCTGTCACCTCGTGACATCCTACACACATGGAAAAACATAACTAAACGTACATCATTTGTTGGTTGTTGAAGCAGCTTGAGGATAACACTGGACAGTTGATGAAAATGAGACCCACGTATTACTGTTAGCTAATGGTTCACTTGCATTCAGAACCTTCTAGTTTGGGCAATACATTGGCATTATATGACATAAAGCATAATTAACACAATCTTGAAAGTACTTACCGTAACTCTTCATCCAGGTATGTGATTTCCAACTGGCCACGACCACTTCCATGGAATTTAATTGGTATCTGCAAAGCACCAGAGAACATGACGACACCAGAGAGCAAGGCAACAATATAATATTGGCATATTAACTTTCTCATTGTTTTATCAGTTTGAGGTCAGCTCCATTACCATTCAATCTCCCCTGTTAGCTCAATGGATATGACTAACCATTTGATGTTAAAAGCTTGTTAATTCTAGAACTACATCAATAGAGAATGTTTTAACATTTCTTTTGTTTCTTTCTTCCCATGATGGCAAGATTTCACACTCCCTTCCTCTATGCCGGAGCTGGCGTCAGAAGCTAACATGGTATTAGAGCTTTGGGTTCAATAGATCAAGATTTTCTCTCCTTCTAACACAATTTATGAGCAATCGAAATTTGCTGGAACAAACTATAATATTCCTCAAAGGCCAAAACTCGAAAAGCCTGCTTTACAGTTTATTGAAACAACTGATGGATTTCTCACCCTTTCACAACCAGCAGTACAAATTTCTTGGTCACTAATCAAGAAACACGCATATTGTTATTCTAGATTTATATATGATTATGAAATGAAGAGGAAATTATCTTCATATATCATTGTTTTAGGCCTGACCAGAGGTGATTAAGCCTGTGAATATAACCACATAGAAACTTGGAATGTTCAAGGATAGCAATATATGTATCACATACCAGACCAGCAATTCTGAAATAGTCGAATTTAACAGCCACCCTTCTTGCATTTAGAGGAACTAAATTAGCAGTGGCCTGCAACGTGATTGACATACCAAAATGAAACTTGATACTTGAGCATCAAACAGCATCTCAATTTACAAACATGTTTCAAGATTGACACTCAACAAATTCTGTAAAACAAACAAATAGTATTCGGTTTGTAATGCAATATATAGCAGTTCGTAGGAAGAATACAATCAGACCTGTATTTAGACATCTAAATTGCACTTAACATATTTCCTGCCGATAAATTGTTAACAGGTCCTGCAACTCAGTTGGTTTTACATTCAAATGATCAGGCAGTGTGTGATCAATTAGTTTTTCTCAAATTGCTAAAACAGACCACTCCTTTATAAGGAATTCCTCAACTTTTTTTGCCTTTTCAGTTCCTAGTTCGGATGGTGAGGTTACAAGTGATCACCCCATCACCATGACCAGTTGAATGGAATAGCAATCACCTGATTAAAGAATGGCGAGGTTTCCAAATTTTGAGCTCGAAGAGTATCCAGATTGATTGCCTGGAAGATTTTGCCGTTGGGTCTTAAGAATTTTGGCCTCTGTCACAGAAACAAGATAGATATGAAAGAAACAGATGCCAGAAAAATAAAATAAGAATCACATTTGGTGAATGGGAGCAAACAAAAGCGAAGAACGAGTTGAGAAAATTGACCAATTGAGGATGAACATAACAACACCTTTGTCTGCAAAAGTGACTTAGATGTTGTGTATAAAAGCTCCCATTTCCCATTCAACAACTTGGAATTGAGAGGCTCCTTGATCTCATTCACTGCCTCTAGTTTTCGTGCTATCTGAATGAAAACAGGAATCAGAATCAGAAGATATCCATATTAATGAAAATATAGACCCAACCAAGGCTCACAAAACCTGATCCACACGCTCTTGATCGTCGCGAGTAGCCTCAGCGCCACGGTCAAGAGGTGCTATTGCATCGAAAAGCTCATCTTTGAGGCTCTGAACGTCTTGCCCTTTGGTTAGAAAACTAGGAAAGAATGAAGCTCTAGTCCTCCATTTGAGAGACAAAGCATTTTCCAAAGAAGAAAGATTGCTGCAGATGTTGGGTTTTGAAGAAGAGACAAGTGATTTGGATGAGAAGATAGAGAGCGAAGGAGAATAAGTGATAGGTTCATTTGAAGATTGCAGAGCTTTTGGCAGAGTAATAACTGTGAAAGCAGGTGAAGAAGCCAGAGCCATTCCTGATCTTTTCTTTTTTTTTTTGTTTTTTTCAAAAGTTCAAAGCTATTTAAAGTAAGTTTGTTTAGTTAAGAGTGGATAAGGGTGCAATTAGGTGGCTCATTCTCATTTAAAGGAAGAAGCACGTGTATTGTATGTTCTTCACATCTTCTACCATACCTTCAAAAACGATGTCGTATCGGCTTTGAAATATAGAACTCAATTTCAAATGAATAAATGAGAAGTGGATACATTAAATTTGGAATAGAGTAGGATAAGCCGTGAGTAGGAACTTAGGGACCACTACACTTAAAATTAATTGGTGATAAGAAAGGCGCATGCTCTAGTTTCATAATGCATTCAGTGCAGATAAGCACCTACCACATTCAACTGACTTGAACAATACTTTGAGCTTCTGTCATGAGATAATTCTAGTCAACATTGTGATCAAGAGAGGTTTTTTCTATTAATTTTATAATTAAGGGTTAATTTGATAACTAAAAAATAAATTGTTAACAAAAATTTTTTATGTGCAAAACATTTTTAAAAAAATTTAATATTTTTTATTATTTAGATAAATTATTAAAAACATTTTTTATTGATTGTATCATTCCGTACAAAATATAATCCACCCTCATCGGTGGAGATAGTTGAATGTTAAAATGATAAATATAAATTGATTACAAAACAATAGTTCCATTTGGTTCTCACTAATTGCGAATCAAAATTAAAGATAAAAATAAAAATTGATAAATAAATAATAATATTTTTTAAAGCATTTAACCACATATCCATAATAAAAATACACTCTAGTTTTCAACAAAAGTTTTTTATCTCATTATTTTTTTTACCATAACATTATAAAAATATCAATATTTATCAATTACGTAAAATATTCAAAATTTATATTTATAAATATATATTCATTAAAATGACGATCATTAAAATATTTTTTATTAAGATTATTAATAAAATTCATTCAATTTATAAATAAAAATTTCAATTGCATTAAATGATTTCATTAACAAATATTTTTTAATATTTAAATAATTTAAATATTAATATTTTTTAATATTTTAAATTAAATATTAATATTCATTGAACCCATACTACTAAGTTTAGTATAAAAGTAATTTTTCAATTCTCCGAAAAATATCTTATGCTTTGAAGGACATAAAATATTTTATATAATCAATAGATATTTTTCCTATTAATCCTTAAAATGTTTTACTTTTAAAATAAATTTTTTATTTATTAAATAAATATACATTTTTTTAAAATATATTTTACATTAAAACGAACAAACTTTAAATTTAATTTTACTAAACTATGGCCCACACGTTGCATACGGGTCTCAATATTCCTCTTTTTTGCTTTATTTATTTATTTATTTATTTATTTTTTAAAGATATGCTCTTCGCATGGCTAAATGAGGAAGCCGTTTTGGGCTTTTTTTTTACTTATGTGATAGATTACGTATCAAGCCAAAACCCGAAAAGTTTAGCTGCAACCCATCAAACTACCAACTGGCCCAAGCCCAAGAAACGAAAGAAGGAAAACCCCATGCCAGGTCCCGGAACAACAAAGCCCATGCAGCAGGACAGAGCCAATGCACGTGTCAAGGAAAATGTTCAAGTTTCACATTTTCAACTCTCCAACGCTCTCTGAAGCTTTGGTAGACACCCATGGCCTTATCTCCGAACTTCCATACAATTTTCGCCACCTCTCAATCCTCTTCAAACTCAGCATCTCCCAAGCTTCCCGCTTCTCACTCTTCACTTACCAGCTTTCACTTCTCAACGAAAACCGTTAGAGGCAACAGCTACAACCTATCGAGGACTTCAGCTTCTGATGAAAAATGGAGGGCCAATGTCTCTTTCTTCCCTGCTTTCTTAAACAAAGGCAAGGATGCTAAGGCCCTCAAGGAAGAGCTTCTCGAGGCCATTGCACCACTTGACGGAGGAGCTGATGCCACCCTTGAAGACCAGCAGAGGGTTGATCAGGTTGGGTTTTGATTTTTTTGTTCTTGAATTCCAACCTTATCTTTTTGTTTTTAATGGTTAGCTTTCATTCTGTATAGATTGCTCGCAAGCTTGAAGCAGTTAGTCCCACAAAGGAGCCTCTGAAATCTGATCTGTTAAATGGAAAATGGGTGCTTATTTACACCACTTCCAAATCTATTTTGCAAACTCAGGTGGAATATCATATGTTAACTCTGCTTAATGTTTCTGTACTTTGCAAATTGTTTGAAAGCTGATGTTTTTACAGAGACCCAAATTCCTGAGATCAACTACAAACTACCAAGCAATCAACACAGACACACTCAGAGCCCAAAATATGGAATCTTGGCCTTTCTTCAACCAGGTAAAATTTGAATGCTTTTTTTAGTTTTTAGCCTGTTGTCTTGCCTTTGCCTAGCTTGAGTGAAGCTCAAGCTCTGTGTTCTAAATTTTGTGATTAATTTCCATTTGTTGTCTCTTTTCCTTTTGGCTACTCATCTGTATACCATTTCATATACTTGGTGGTGCATTGATTGGCATGCCTAGTGATTCCTGATTTTGGAGAAAGTTACGAGAATAAAATCAGTATATATTAACTTTCTTCTGTTATCTGATTGATCAAACTGTCAAATTGGCTTATATGTTTTATAGGTTACAGCAGATCTAACACCCTTGAATGCAAGAAAGGTGGCTGTAAAGTTTGATTCTTTCAAGATTGGAGGTCTGGTAAGTTGAAATGTTGAATGAACTGATAGTTGGATATCGAAAATCTTCTTACTCATTGATAGTATAGTATCAACTTTGCTTCTACTTCTGCAGTTTGAGACTATATTTCTATCTGAAGTATGAATTCCTACACCTGTTGTCCATGATAAGATTGACTCTTGTGGGGTGGAACTTTGTTCTTGCATGAAAAGCCTCAAAAGAATTCTGAAAAACCATAAATTTTGTATTTGGGCTATGGGAATGATTCAGATTCAATTTTTCCTAAGTTTGCATTTCATAATTAGAAAGTCTACGGGACCTATCAAGAACCTCCTTTAGCAATGGAAAATAACTGGTTAACAAGCTGACCACAGGATTGTACACACAAATTTCGAGCCCTTCGTCCATTGTGAAAGATAGAAAGGTTTTGAAGGTTCTGCAAGTTTACGGGAGTTATCAGTATTCCTTTTATTTTCTTGATGTGCAGATACCTATCAAGGCTCCTGGAAGAGCTCGTGGTGAATTAGAGATTACATATTTGGATGAAGAACTGAGGTGAGAGCAAACATCCTGAGACTTAAACGTTTACATGAAACTTGAAAGGTTAACATAAATTATACTAGCATCTGCTTTCTTTTTTCTCTTTTCATTAAAGAACCTTGATTGGGGTTGAATCAATCCTAAGGCAACATAAACCTGACAAGGCAATGAAGCTGATAAAATCTATCTGATACATAACTTCTGACAGTACATTGCATCTATGAAATCTTAAATCCTTCATGTTTGTAAGATTTTTGGGAAGTTCTCCAACAATTGTTGGCAGAAATATTTATCGATTAACTCACTGGCAAGTGATAATTTTTTCTTAGTTTTTCCAATCAGGATATCCAGAGGTGATAAAGGGAACTTGTTCATCTTGAAAATGGTTGATCCATCTTACCGCGTCCCCGTCTAAATTGAATGGTAGTAGCAGTGGCATTGTTCAGCCATTAACAGGGATGGACCGACTTCTTCAAGCTTTAGCTGATACATTTTTCTTATATTAAATTGGTTTTTTTACATGTTTGTGTACAAAAATTTTCCTTGGTGATCATGCAAGTTTTGTTTTCAGGCATTTGCTTACTTGGGTCTTGTGTTTAAAGGTTATAGTGCAGGATAATTATCATCTGCCTTGTTGACAATAATGACTTCTACAAGTAAATTTATAATTTTGTATATGATATGAGAGATATGAATAGACACGGAGTTGACCGTTTTTTAATTTATAATAATTGTATTTCATGTTTTAAATGTATCAAACTTGTTCCATTAATAATATTATCATATATCTATAGAACTCATAATTCGTTTATTACTTTAATTTACCTAACACGTTTACAACTTGATTGTTACATGTTTAAGCTCTCATAAAAATAATTTTTTTATTATGTTTAAGGATGATGATAGATTTTATTATATTTGAGAGTTATTATTATTATTTGTTTTTTTATGATTATTAATTTTAAATTTTAAAAATAAAGTTTATGTTTTGTTAGTAAATATATGTATTTTAATTTAATCATATTTAAAATTTTAATCGTCATAATTCACCTGTTTAAGAAAACCTATTTAGGCATGAGTGTCCCGAATCTCATTAAAAAAAAAAAAAAGACATAGTGGGTGAACGATTATTAAATATTACCAGTGAAAATAAATGCAGAATATTTTGCGGAAAGAGCGTAAAAGGCAGAACAGTGCTGGTGCTGAATATAAGTGGTGGTGGTGGTTCCAGGACAAAAATTGGGTGTGTCGGGTTTTGGTCTCATCAGCTAGCAAATATGAGCAAGTCTTTTGAAGTTTCTAGCACGTTGCACTATATTCCTTTGTCCTCGAAGTGCCTAACGCAGAACAAATTGGAAAGCCACTCCGTCACGCCTCTCTGTCTCGCTGTCTCTAGTCGTCTTCTTCTCTCTCCAACTCTTCATTCCATTGATTTCCAACGTGTGTCGGTGGAAGCCTGTCTCAGAGCTTGAATCCGGAGGAAAGAATCTTTGAAACCCAAAAAAAGGAAAGACCCAAGAAAAGAAATAATTCACTTCTTACCTGGAAAACTGTTCTTTTCATCTCAGCTGCTTGAATCTTTGAAGTCCTCTCCAATGAAAAGGAACGCCCTTTGACCTTATTTTTTAATTCCCTTCTTTATTAAATCATTTTTAAGTAGTTGCTTGATTAAGACTACTCTCATGGACTCAATTTGAGTCTTGAAATCCCACCAAAAAGGGAAAGAAAAAAATGGTTACTAAGTTGATGGTTACCCACTTCAAAGCATCGAATTTTGGGTTGGCTTCTTTGATTTCTGGCAATAAAGACGTTTGCAAGTTTGGATATTTCTCAAGAAACTCTGCTTCGCGGCACAAGTTAAGATTCAAGCTTTTGGGAGCTCAGGGGGATAGGTGGAAGCTCAATGACATTGATACCAGTATGTTTACATTTCTCTTTTAAGTATTTGTTTCTTTTTTGGTTGAAGATCAAACTTTATAAGCACTATTTTGTGTTTCTTGTTTTTTCGTGTTTATGATGTCAGGTCCAACATTTTTGCTATTGAGATACGTTGACGGGCTAGGATTAGGCTCAGTGATTCATAAAAGGCTAAACTTTTTGGGTTTTGCTAACTTTTAAGTGTCCTAAGAGCAGCAATTGACAGTTAATACGATCATTCTCAATCCATTGAATGTATCCATATATATAAGTAATCTTAACAAGTGTCATTAGCAAAACCCAGAATGCTTTACGTATTGTAAGGTGGCATTTTCTTCTTTTTGTTGATTCTTAGTTCTGTATTTGCACCTTTTTTTTTCTGTGTTGACAGATGCTATGCAAGAAAGAATAAATTCATGGCTGTCAAAGACCCAACATTTTTTGACTGAGGTAACTTTGCCACTAGTAAAAAATGGTCACAGTGGAAAGCCTGATCCTGGAAATGAGATCGACACTCAAGCCATGGAGGACATTTTTCTGGCAGAACAGACTATTCCTAGTAGTACACCCAATGGAAATCTATCATTGGCTGCTATTGTGTCCATTGAGCAGTTTAGCAGGTGAAATTATCCTTTACATGTTTCAATAATCATGTGAATTATGGATTTTGTTGTATGAGTATGTGAAAAAATCCACATTCTGCATGAAAAAAGGGGGTTGGTTTCCAGAAAACAACCTCTGTAGCTGTTGAATGGTGAACTCAGTTGGAGGATTTTGTTACAGCTAATCATTATTTAGTTTTGGTAAACTAAGTATGTTGCTCAGAAAAGTTATTAAAACAAAAGAGCTTTTAGCCTATTAAATATTTCAAAAGAAAAAGAAGACATTATGCTTCAATTAATTCAAACAGAGTTACCCCATATACATGTTCCAAGAATGTTTTCTTTCATTAGCTTAAGACTGTGTTAAATACTGTTATCAAGGTTTTATCATTTTTTATGGGATTGAATTATTATTCTACGGTTCTTCATAAAGGCAGACAACAATTCTAATTGAAGAGTTTTCTTTCCTTGTCCTTCATGATTATTAGTGATTCATCTACTATTAGGAGTTTCCAGATTGGATTATGATTTGATTCTTGGAAGCTAAGTTTGCAGGATGAATGGATTGACTGGGCAAAAAATGCAGACGATATTTAAAGCTCTTGTTTCTAAACATGTGTATGATGATGCTTGTAATCTGGTGGAGTATTGCTGCTTTAGGTTCTTGTCAAGGGATGCTTCTGATCTCCATCCCTGCCTTAAGGTCTGTAGAACTATTATTATGTGAACTATTTGTGTTCTTTTTTACATCTATATTTTCTTCATAAGATTGTATGGTCCAGCTTAACGAAGAATCTAAGATTCCAAGTAGATATGAGCTTATGGCCTTTTTCTGTAATTTCCCACTTATTTCCTTGTGCTTCTTACTGATTGCATGTGTGTCATCAATGTATGACTTTTGCAACAATCACTTCCAGTTCCACACCTAATAAGAAAAAACAAGAAAGAACATGTTTTGATAATTGATCATTTTCAAGTTTTTTAAATAAATGTACGATTGGCATTTCTATTACCTCTCTACCATGAATTTCATGAGTTCCTCAATCAGCATCACAACTTCCCCAGCTCAGTTCCATCATCCTGTATGCTTAAATCTCTCTCTCTCTCTCTCTCTCTCAATGAAGATTTGTAAGTCTTGGGAGTCATAAAGTTCCTAATTAACTGTTCTCTGGAAATAATTTGGTTATTTTTACAGGAACCTGCATTCCAGAAACTAATTTTCATCACAATGCTTGCTTGGGAGAATCCTTACTGCAATGAAGATGATTTCAATGCCCATGCATCAAGAAAAGCGTTTTTTCAGGTTCTTTTCTTTTATTACCTTTTGAACTATTTTGAAATTATATTACCTTTGATTATATGTTGCTTAAACTCGATTAAATCTGGTGCAAGTTATTTCAGGGGCAACCCCCCTCTAAAAAAAAGAGAGAGAAAGTGCCTTAGCATTTGCATCCAACTGGACTTGCAAGAGTATGAGCTGTGAAATTAATTATTTTCTTGGTGGTATTGAAGGGAAAGCTGGTGGGAGAAGAGGCTTTCTCTCGTATTGCTCCAGCAATTTCTGGTGTTGCTGATCGCCCCACAGTGCACAACCTTTTCAAAGCTCTTGCTAGTAATGAACAAGGCATCTCATTAGGAGTGTGGCTAACTTATATTGATGAACTTCTCAAGTAAGCTTCTGATTTCATGTGGCCAGCATTTTATATTACTTTCATGATCATAAGGTGAATTAATAGTAGATAAACAATCCATAATGCCTCAACCTTGCCATACGAAATATATTATTGAGTGCTCTAATGTCTTTCCACAAGGGAATGTCCTTGAATTGAGATGGAGAGAGACAGACCCTACAGTACTAACATAAGAATAACAATATTAAGTGAGCTGGTGTAATCTTTTCAATAAGTGCAGGCCTACATTTGTGCAAGTAGTTCAACTCTTTCCACCCCTTTCACTTTTTTTCTTTTCCAATCCTTTTTCACCTTTCTTTTGTCCTCCTGAACTCTTACATTGAAAAGTATAATGGTATTGAACACTGGACCTTGAATCCTTTTTAATGTGCTTCTTCTTTTAGTTAATGTCCATTTCGGTTTACCAATTCTCTTTGAATTCATTCTGGTAAGCTTGATTCCTGCTGTTTTTAGTGTAGAGTGCACGAAGGAAGGAGATCTTATCAGGTCCGTGAATGTCCTCAGCTCTCAGAGGAAAGGATCTTGTGCATTGGTTCCAGCAGGAAACGTCCTGTTCTAAAATGGGAGAATAACATGGCATGGCCAGGAAAACTTACTCTAACAGACAAAGCGCTGTATTTTGAGGTACTTATTGTCCATAACTTGTTTATCAATTTTATTTTGGAAGCCTTCGATACCTTTTTCATAAGTTCATAAGTTTGACTCATGGAGGTAATTCATAAAAGGCATCGACATTTTCCCAAAATTTTTCAATTTTTCCTTCCTACAAATAACCTGGGGATCTTTAAAATACTAAGCAGAATGGTGTGCAAGTATCCAGCTTCCCTGTTTCAGTCATGAAGATGAGTAGAAATGCTTGAAAATTTAACAATTTTTTGAGGAAACTTAGAATGATTGTATGATCTATTGGACTGGTCCTTATATTTGATATCAGGATGGAGCAGTTGAATCTTACTTTAGAACTATTCCAATTCTTGGGCATAAAATTGCATTTCGTATTGGTTACTGTCATGTTGTTGCAGGCAGTTCAATTTCAAGGGCAGAAAGATGCAGTAAGACTTGCCCTAACTGGGCATGGATTGGAAGTGAAGAAAGTAAAAGTTGGACCTTTCAAATCAGGGCTTTTTGACTCTGGAGTAGCTGTTTCATCTGGTCCTGGGTGAGCTTCTCCAATCTTGTTTTGGTGGTGGAAGAATTTCTTCTTCTTTTTATGTATTATATTGGAATTTATGAGCAAAAAGTACTAAGCTGATACAAACCAAACGTTTTTGGTTAGCATGTCTAGAACAGGAAAAGATTACACAGGGTAACATACATGAGCACTGGAGAAAATTAGATGGTCTAAACTTTGGAGTTATGAAGCATTTAAGCGTTTACTCATGCAGTTCTATGTTTATAAGCTTGCATCTGTCAATAATCTTTTTGGTGCCAGATGTACTTGTTGGGACTGAAGATCATCAATTTTCTGCATTCTCAATTACATGATGTACTTTTCAGTATTGTTTTTTTAGTCACGTAGTGAAGATCCTTTTATCTATTAGAGTTTCTTTTAAATAAATAAATAATTGATTAATTTTTTGAACTTCTACTCAGTTCACAAACATGGGTGCTGGAGTTTGTTGACTTGGGAGGTGAATTGAGACGAGATGTTTGGCATGCTTTTATCAGTGAAATTATTACCCTACACAAGTTTCTTAGTGAGTATGGACCAGATGATGATGATCAATCACTATTTCAAGTATTCGGTTCTCACAAAGGGCGGGAAAAGGCTATCATGGGTGCCTGTAATGGCATTGCTAGACTTCAGGCCCTCCAGTTTATGCGAAAGTTGTTGGATGATCCAATCAAACTTGTTCAGTTCTCTTATTTGCAAAATGCACCCTATGGTGATGTTGTTTTCCAAGCTCTAGCTCTAAATTATTGGGGTGGACCTTTAGTTGCAAAATTTACAGATGCCGGGTATCAACGAGCTCAAGCAGTGAGCCCTTCTGAAGAGGTATATGAAGTCAATGATCATGTATTTGACATAGATGGAAGTGTTTACTTGCGGAAATGGATGAGATCTCCATCTTGGAGTTCTAGTGCTTCCATTGCTTTTTGGAAGCATTCTCCAATTAGACAAGCAGTAGTGTTAAATAAAAATCTTGTTGTGGCTGATGAGACCCTAGTAGAAAGGGCAGCAGCAATCTGCAAGCAAAAATACCAGGCAGTGGAAAAAACTCAAGCCACAATTGATGCAGCGACACTTCAAGGGATACCCAGTAATATTGACCTTTTCAAGGTTTGGCATCTATTTATTGCTTATATGTTTTCTTTTTCTCCTTGTATATATAGTTATCGTTTCGGCAAGATTCTGATCACACCATCAGTGACTGGTTATTTGTTGAGTTTATATGTAAAACCTTATATGCCAACTGATTGAACTGATTTGACATTCCCTTTATGCAGGAACTTGTTCTTCCTTTGACAATAACAGCTAGGAATTTTGAAAGGCTTAGACGCTGGGAGGAGCCACACCTGACTCTCTCTTTTCTTGGATTTGCATATACAATTATTTTCAGGTAGACACTTTGCATTAAACTATTGTTATGCAAACAATACTTGTTTTAGTCCTTACAGGCAACACTAACATTCTTAATGGCTAAGTATATTGTTAGGAGCAAGATGACAATTAATATATGCATTAAGAACGGAGATATTATAAATAGTTTATGATTATCAACTTGTTAGTCTAACTTTTTGAATTGGTGTGATACGGCGTCAGCTATGCTCTATATTTCGGTCATAACATTTACAAGCTTTCATAATCACTTGCAAGCATGTTCCTTGCTTTTGAGCTTTTTGCTCTTGGAGAAAGGATAGGGATGCGATATAATGTGCTTATACTGGCAGCGAAAGATGTAAAAGACTTTGGCTTGTTGCTTGAAACCCACTTTTACGTAATAGCTCTATTGGCTTTTATTTGAATGAATTTTTGTTGTTTTTTACTCTCTCACTCCATGTTAACACACTAAGCTAATGTGTTGAACATTTACTCGCTAGAAACCTGCTGTCATATATGTTTCCCATGGTATTGCTTGTCTTGGCCACTAGCATGCTAACGCTTAAAGGGCTCAAGGAGCAAGGTCGCCTGGGTAGATCTTTCGGAAAAGTCACTATCCGTGATCAGCCACCTTCAAACACTATTCAAAAAATTATAGCTGTAAAAGATGCTATGCGTGATGTGGAAAACTATCTCCAGAATCTGAATGTTACCCTCCTGAAATTACGTACGATTCTCCTTGCAGGTCAGCCTCAGGTATGATGTCATGCTTTATGAGGGACTTGTAAAGAGCACGAGTATTATAAGAACATTTGATTTTATAGTGCTTCAGAAAATTTAAATTCTGTTTGGTGCTAATTTAAATTAAACTATACTCATTTAAACATTTTAGCAGATAACAACTGAGGTCGCACTGGTGTTGTTATCATCTGCAACCATTCTTCTTATCGTCCCTTTCAAGTATGTTCTTGCCTTTCTTCTATGCGATCTCTTCACTCGAGAGCTTGAATTCAGGAGGGAGATGGTTAGGAGATTCATAAGTTTCCTGAAGGAGCGTTGGGACACTGTGCCTGCAGCCCCTGTAATTGTGTTACCATTTGAAGGTGAGGAGTCCAGATCAGTGAATCAAAGAAGCCAATCAGATAAAAACGCAATTAGAAAGAAGGCAGAGCAGTCGGAGGCCTAGATATTTGGACATACACGTATGCTTTAATTTTGTAGTGAAAAATCATTTCCTATATGGTATACAAAAAGGCAAAATTGCATTGAATTTCTTCCTCCATTTTTGTATAGACCTCGTTGCACTGACATGTGGCAATTTATTTCTTGCTCTTGGCCATATAAATGATAGTCAGATGATTGTTCGAGTTAGTTATGGGCCTGGACCCTTCTGTTCTGAAGCACATTTTTCGAAGGGATGGGGAAGTATGCCATATTTATTGCAAATTTCATACATGTCGTTGTTCTTAGCAACTTCATCAAGATATGTGTATTTTATTTGAGGATGACCTAAACTTCTGCTGAAGCTTATACTGAATTACATAAAAAATACTAGCTTGGACTGTGCATCATTCATCCAGGTAATGCTTAACTATCCTTGTCCTTTTCCTTTGCTTCCTGCTTTCTATCTGACAGATATTTGTTTTCCTTCTTACTTTGATCCATTGATAGCAGCTTATTTGTCCTCCAACAGGTTGTGTATTGAAAGAATCCAGAAGAAAAGGAAGAGAATAAAACATAGCATCCTTTTAGATTTCAAACTGATACACCCTGTATAGGATTTCCTAAATCTGTAAAGTGGAAATCAAGGGTGCTTTGAAGTCCTTTCATTGTGAAAGGAGCAAATTGTTTGGTTCCTGGATTCAGCACCAACATATTAGTAGGGATCATAACTTGTGAAAAAGACCCTTTCTTCTTTGAAGGTGCATGAGAAAGAAAATGGATCAAATCAAACCAATCTCTGGGGCCTTATTGTCGCTGGATATCACTTCTCTGTAATTATTGTTGTTATTGCTTTTATGACAGATATTGTTGTTGGTTCGGAAGTCCTGGATTTTAATCAAATGATGGTGATTTGACCAGTGAAATGATTGGTATGCCATGCCTAGGATATTCTTGGCGAACGTCTATAAACACATTGAATTGGCACCTTACCTGCGTAACAAAAAGGTCATCAGTAGGCACGATGGTACATGCCATTACTAGATGATTTTGAAAGGAAGCATCGCCCCACGTTTGAAACAAGTACCTAGATAATATCCTTGGTGTCAGTGATTTCTTGTGTTGTTTTTTCTGGATTTCTAATTAGAACAAAGTTGCTTATTTAGAGTTGGATTTTTCATTTTATTAATCTTGTGCTTTTTTTTTTAATATGGTAAGAGATGATGGTTGGTGAAGCCATCCATCATTATGAATTGGGGTTGAATGTCATGATTCATTTTCATTTTCTCATTGCCTTTTATGTGAAACAAGCCATCTCTGTTTAATAAACTTTTTTTTTTTTGAGTATTAAGCATCTCTAAATGTGTATGTACTGTGAAAACCTGGTTATGAATTTAATGAAAATATCAGCATGGACTACCCTGGGGGATACATTTTTTTGTAATCATACAGGTAAAATCCAATTTTTCTGTTCCAGGTTTCCAGCTTTCCAAAAGAATCCAGACGAAAAGGAAGAGAAAAAAACAAAGCATAACAACTCTTTTTAAGATTTCAAAATGATGAACAGCTGTGCAGGATTTTGCTAAAGCAAAATTTGTAAAATGGAAACCAATGGGCATGCCAGCATCAAAATCCTCCAGCTTTGAGAGAATGCCCTGAAGCCCTCTGATGTATTACTGCAAACAAACTTCTGATTCTGATAGGAGCAAATTGTAGTGTTCCTGGATTCAACGCCAACACATCAGTGAGCATAATAACCCAAAAATACCCCTTAGAGCAATTTATGTTACACAGCCTGACTTTTCAGGTATCTGTACCCGACACTTCTTGAATATTTCACTATTTATATAGACACAACGTACACGTGGCCAACACCCTGTTTTAAGTCCATATTATATATGCATGTTTGAAGGTTCGCTAGCTTTACCTTAATGCACAGAAAGCCACCAAGTAATCTGATGCAGAGCAAGTTATGATGCTGACACGGTTATCGTAGGCATAGCTAGATGCTGCAGGGCATACTTGTTTGAAACTCTTGGAATAGTTTGTAGGCAAACATGATACAGGGTCGCCATATGTCCCACGACAACAATACTCATCCATGTTGAAGGCATCACATGCACTCCTGCAACCAACAACCTTGCCATTATCTTTCACAGCAAGATCTGATGAGCAATTCTGCCTCAAGTCCCCATCACAGCCAGCAGTGCTGCAATTGCCTTTACCGCCACCAGGCTTGATCACAATTGGCAAATTGAACCCATCCACGAGGCTAACATCATAAAAATCAGTATCACCGAGAGTGAATTCGGCTATGGAAACAGGCAGGCTACCGGCACTCGTGCAATTAATGGAGGTGCCACAGCTGCCTGTTTGGCATGTCCCATCGCCAGTTTTAGTATCAAAATTGCAACCTGTTCGACCCCATATGCGGCCACTCCACCCGTCCGAGGCATTGTAGATGGCGGTTTGGCCTGGTTCCAATTTGAAGTCTTCACCATGGAAGTTGCCTGATCCATCTGTGATTATTGCAGGCCATATTGTCTCTTTGCACTGGTTCACAAGAGTAAAATTTTTGGCATTTGCATTCATTTTTGCACCTGCCAAATATAAATGTAAGTTAAACTAGAAACCATGTCCTTTATATATATATACATATAGAAGTATCCGTTGGCGAAAACAGAACAGGCATGAAGAGAAAATTTACCTGATGCAAGGAAAACGAAGATGCAGAAAAGTAGACTAACATTGTGAGCCATCTCCTACACCAATATGCCAGGGGGCACTTGGAGACAGCCATGGAAGATTGATGTGCATTGTTTATAAATGAGCAGGGGAAGATAAAGTTAACGGGGAGAATACGTGTGGAAGTTAGTGAATCAACAAGCAGTGACAGACCAAAAAGACTGATCCTTGCTTAGTTCCCTTACCAATTGATACCTTGCCTCGATTACATTACATTCCGCTAAATTTTATTTTTTGGGCTCTTTTTCATGTTTCAAATCTTGGAGGTATTCTTTCAATTTTTTAACTATCCAGCTTTTCAATGAAGGGATTCCATAGCCAGACTCCAGCCTGGATTATCCCCAGCACAGTTGCTAATGATGACATGATCAGATTGCAACTTCTTTTGGTATATCTGTGATATTCTCAGGCTCAAATTTAACAGAAAACGTAAAACTTAAAGTGAAATTGTTACCTTTGCAAATAGCCATTACTAATTTAGAAGGGGCTGCCCCAGATTGAGAACCCAAGATTTGCATCCATTTCCATGGAGTTACAGAAAATATAGTTCAAACCAGACTTGGATCTCAGTGTTCAATTGAAAGCCTGAATACCACAATATGGGCACTGGTCTCAGCACATGTTTGACAGTAATCTACCATTTTCTTCTTTCTTTCCAATTTGAGATTTCAACCGTACATCGATAAGTGAACCAAGCAAAACCCGATATCGCCACTTCTACCAGTAATGAATCTCGCTAGGTGGTCCTGGATTTCTTTTGAGAGAAAAAGAAGACCCCATTTTCTCCATTCAAGAAAAACAATATGGGACTGATTTTGAGTGAACAGACATGTTCCAAGATTGAATTGAATGAATGTAAACCCAAAAGAACAAAAAAAAATATAGAATTGAATGTGATCTTTACTCAAATGACAAAGCATCTGAGCATAAAGATAAACAGTGTTCTTTGGGTGTCTCCTTGTAAGTAGAAAGCAATAGCTTCTGCTTGTCCCACCCCATGAATGTTTGCACAATTAAAAGGAAAATCAATTCTCTTCCCATACATATCAAGAAAAATTGATGCTTTAGCTGGCTCCTCTCGTCAATTAGTAGGGACAATTCAATATCCAAAACCCAATTAAGAGCCTCCCAGAGTTGGTGGGGAGGCAAATATCCAACAAGGCTAAAACCTATTGCACCATTTGCTCACTATCTGCTCAGATAAAGTTGTGAAATGGAGGATGTGGGAACTCAAACTTTAATTTCCCATTTGGGTTTACAAAAAAATTAATTAATTGCCATTACCGCTTGCTGGTTGGCTGCTGCTGAAATTGAAACAGGTAAAATAGCAAAGATCAACAACTCAAACAGGAATTCTTATAACTACATTTTATTCATAATATTGCTAAAAATTTATATAATGTAATGAAACCTGTAAAAAAACTGTAAAAAATTTACCAAAAAATTTTATCAAAAATATTTTTAATAACAAGTTTGAGAAATGTCTGACCTTTTAAGTCAAATTTGTTGTAATATAAGTTAGCTATCAGGCTTTAATGGCTAGCAGAGGGTGTAATGCTAGCTAGCTAGTGACAGCAGCTCTCTTTAAAATCGACCCTTTATCCAACTTACCCAGTACTCATACAAATTAGGGTTTCAGGTGTCTATCATCATTAATTTATTTCAAATACTAATAATCTTTATCCAATTTATATTGGACACTTTTATGTAATACTTTCTTAGGTTTTTCCATCATGAACATAACCCGTAAGAATATTTCTATTTAGTTGACCTTTTACAAAGCTTGCAACGTGCATCAACTTTGATTTACATGATCCAAATTCAAAATTCTTTTATTAGGGTTTTCTTAATATATAGTTGTAAAAAAAAAATACTGAACTAAAGCAGTAATTAATTTGTGAAAATATAAATAAATTCCTTGAGCTGGATGGGCTCATAGTATCAATCCCCAACTAACCATCCCAACCTTTTATGTAAGGTAATAGTAGTACTACTACTACATTCACCAACCTGATTTTCAAGAATTTAATGTGCAGTAAATGTATATACTTCTTAAATCATGTATGGTTTATCCCCTTTTCTAAAAAGTCCACTATTTTTTTCTTTTTCTCGTTTAACACGACAAAAGAATGCAATTCCTGTCAGTACAACAAATTCGTATTTTAATTATATTTTTTTAGACAATATATCATTGTGTAGTGAAATATTAAGAAGTGTAATTATTTATATTTTTAATTATAGTTTTTCACATTTAAGAACAATATTAGAAATACGATCTTTATTAGTATATATGATTTTATGATTACATTTTATTTATAATCCTTTTAAAAATTAATTTACATAGTGCAATCTAATCTAAAACATGATGTAACATTCCTAAAGTGTTATCAAAAATATTTCTAAGAATACATTGGAAAAATATTCGATCTGAAATAAAATTTATTATAATACATGAACGACGAACCCATTAAAAAAAATTTTAATTTTATACTGGTCACATTTATTATATTTTGACGTAAAATAGTGTATAGTATTATCTGCAAAAGGAACAAGACTACAGAAGAAGAATGTGGCTTGGATACTGGGCATCAATTTTCCTTGGTCCAGGCTCTATGAGGGAGGCTTGATCAGGCTAAGGGTATTATTATTATTATTGTGTAAATGAAAGTACTAGCTGGTAGCAATGCTGTTGGAGGTATCTGACACCTCAACTACAAATAATTAAATGGTTTGCTAAAGAAGAATTAAATTTTGGTCGAACTGATTGAAGACTTTAGGACAAGAAATTAATTTTCACTGCTTGTATATATGTCTTTTTAATTTTGATAAATTACAGCATATTAAATTCTTGAAACTAAAAGTATATCAATTATACTTGAAGTTTTTATGCGGAAAATATAAATTCTGTATTCAGATATTTGATTCGGTGATTTCTTATAATCTTTCTGTTTAAAGAATAAAATTAGAATCTCCACTTCTTTTTATTTAAAAACAAAATTTCTAATTAGATCATTATTCATAAAACCTTTTTTCTTTAAAATATTTGTTTGATTCATTTAAATGCAAAATAATATATTAATCAAAGGGGAATAAATGATACAGTTACTAATTTTTTTATTATTATATGTATAAATTTTGAAATATACAATTTCATCACCCTTAATCAAATCAAGTAACCTGTAATTGATTACTCTTGAACAACTCCTCATGAAAAATCTTACGTTTACCACTACAAACAATCCCAGATTAAGACAAGAAAAGAGAGAATTCAAGTATAGGAAGTCTATAAACCTAAAGCTGGAAGCAAAGATACACATAATTAGTTACTCTATAGATGTTGGATCGAAATTTGTTATAGGCACTCAAATATTAATTGGGCAAGACATTACTGATTCTATCCAAACAAATATGGACTTTAATTTAGGTCTAGGTGGCTGGCAGGAGTTTAAATGTTTTCTTTCAATTATCATAAAAGAAAAATCTTTCTTGCCCTCAAAATCCAATTTGATCATTTAAAGCTTTGATGAAATGAAACCAAAGCAAGTAGAGAGAGAGCGTAAAAACCTCATAAAAATTCATAGGGAAACTCCTTTAAATTAAAAATGCTTCAACATACTTGTACTTCTATTTTATTAAATTTTTTTTTGGCTCTTACAATTAAAAGAAAAGTGGTTAGAAAAACAAAAATTAGGCTGAATGAATTTGAGAAATGGTTGAACAATTTTTTTTTTGAAAGATGGTTTTTATTAATGATGAGCTGGAATGCCGTGGGGAGTCTTCAACGTTGAGATTTGGAGACTCCTGTTGACATAGAAGCTATCATAAGAAGGGCCTGTTCTGAACAATTACAAAAAGAGCAGCTGCTCAAGGAGCAGCTGGCAGCATCTCAACACGGATAATCTCAAAAACAAGTAGAGTTCTGGATAAATCCCTAAACAAAAGTCTAATACTAGTAAAACTCTATCAGAGTGATAAGATAAATGAGTGTTTTAAAACAAACCACCGCCCACCGTGGAGCTCGAACCCAGAGATAACCTTTTAACCGACACAGTAGTATCATAGATGCACAAGGACACAAACATACACAAACAAGAAACAGAGGCCACACGCAACTTCCTCCTGATCGATTAAGTTCTTTTTCTCTATCTCTTGCTCGACGGCCACCTTCTCATGTTGCACCGTAAGATGCACCAGACCCAGATAAGAATCAGTGCATGTCAGAGCTCCAAACACAATAAATTAATCGTAGACATTCAACAAATCAACCTGACCCTGCACCGCTCTCTTTGCAAGACTATCAGCAAGTTGATTAGTTTCTCTGTAGATGTGTTTAATGTCCCGTTTCTCTGTAGATGTGTTTCTCTGTAGATGGTTGAACAATTAAGGTAATTAATATAACTCATAATAAAAAAAATGTAGATAGAGTTTATAGCTAGGTTGGTTGAGGTTACACACGAAAATAGTTACTACAGCAAGTTCTTTTTCATGCTTCAACCTTTTATTTTAGATTGGAAAAAGAGAAAAAGAAAAGTGGGATAGGCTCAACTTTCCATGCCCAAGGTTACGTCCATTTCATCTGGAAGTAGCCACCGGTTCAAGCCCATCATGAAGATTTATGATCAGCACACCGCTCATCATTCAATATTTTTGTTTTTTTGGGTTTATATTTGACTTTGTACCAACTTTAATTTATAGGAAAATTAGAAACAAAAATATTGTTATATATGTATGACAATTTTTTATTTTAAAAAAGAGTTCATCTTTCACTTTCCTTAAACAATTGACTCAACAATTAACATTACATAATTTTATATCAATAATATATCAAAATCACAACAATTAACCATTTATGAATTCATATTGATGAAATATCAAAATCACAGCTATTAAATACAATTACAAATCCTTTTCAAAGCCAAAATATTTGGAAGTGACGAATTTCTATAGCTTAAATACCATGCAACGATCTAAGGGGCTACTGTTTAGTCCGATAGGAAACAAGTTCCTGACAAACTTATTTACTCACCTGCTATGTATTTAATGGAGATCGCAACAGCAACTTAATTTCCGGGTTTTCTGGTGAGAGAAGAAGACTGGTATGAACTTGACAACTCGAGTTTCGTTTTTGCAGTATCTTCCCTTTCATTAATGTACACATGAACATGCATGGTTCATTCACTTACAAAGCCTGTACTACTTCAGTGATAACCACATAAGGCAAAAACGAAAATTACAGTGATGATAATGAACATGAAAATGCATATAATCCAATAATTTTTTGAAGTTTAATTAGTAATAAATAATTCAACTCTTGAATTGAAGAACAGTGATACAAAGTAATACTGCTAATTAAGATACATGAGGAACAATTGAAGTCGTAGAAGTAGATAGTGCACTTTGGCAATGTGCATATTTGTTTTTCATGAACTAAAGCACCCTGAAAAATAAAGTATAAAAATTGAAAAGAAATGGGCAATTTTGTTTTAATCCTAATGAATTAGTTACCCTTAACCTTAGGGGATGAGTAACTCTTAGCATGGAAGTCTGAGAACAAGAACAGGAGAGAAATGATGAAGAATGCATTGAAGAACCAGCTCAAAACACCGGAGCACCCTGACCCGGTGAAGTGGTAGAAGACAAGCATGGCCATGATCAGAAAGCTTGCCCAGAACTGCAGAAGCTGGAAATCAGTCACCGCTTTCTTCCACTTGGGGCGCATCCCGAGGGTGCACATCAAGTAGTAGGTGTACATTACAATATGCACCACGCAGTTGGTAACAAGCACCATGGAGAAGGAAGATTGAGCGCTTTCTAAGCACATGTAGCACATGATTAAGACCATGGAGTGGTGGTACACGTGAAGAAATGACAGTCTTTTCATGGAGTTGCTGAGGATGATCAAAAGGGTATCCATGAATTCAACAATCTTGGAGAGGTAGAAGATATAGGCCCAGAAAAATAGGGGTCCCGATGGCGATGTGCGCTTAGGGAGGCAGACGAGAGTATTAAAGTTAGGCACCTGGGAGAAGATGGAAACGAGGCAACCAAGGGCCATGACGAAGGAGAGGACAAGGAGGAACATGTTGTGGAGTGCTGAGATCGATTTCAGGACCGGACGTGCGAGGGAAGGGCGAGACACTTGGGAGAGAATGAACGTGAAGGAGATGTAGGACAGGACAGTGAGGGTAAGGAAGCGCTGGGAGGAGCCTGGAGTTTGGCCATTGTCCCATGAAAATTCAAGGATTTTCGGGTGATTCACTAGCCAATCTTCCAGGGTCGGGAAAAAAGGTTGTCTCACTACCAAACCTTTAACGGTTGAGTAAAGGGTTGGGAAGAAGGGAAGTTCCATCTCTTCCTCTTTGCAACTATCCTTTGAGGTTGCAAGAATGATTCAGAGAGAGAGGAAGAGAATATTTGTGACCTGGAAGAGAAATGGGCGTGAGACAAAGCATGCGGGTATTGGTTTTTTAAGCACTGAAAGTAACTTTGAAATTTTTCTGCCTTTTTTTTACATCATAGCTGGCTTTAGGATCATCAATCAGTCCCACGTCATTCGACTGTACTTGCATGCTTTATTTTTCATTTATGGTCCTCACCAATGAATTTCACCACCCCAGACATCTGTTGCCCTTTCATTTTTTTGGTGTTGGTCATGAATTTTTATGGCGAAACCCCACCAGTCATACTAGCATTTCAGTATTTCCATATCTTCTATCTCTTCCACATTAAACTGTTTTTTCTAACTCTGTTTCTTCACTTCATGTCGCAATTGAAAGACATGTCAGATTGAACTTCCCAACTGCCAAAATCAAAATGATAACTAGATTGATATCTTTAATTTCTAATGTTTGTAATGTTGGGGGTGTGAATTTAATTTGTTTCCTCTTGAAATCTTGATAAAAACACATGAAAAAAATGTACTTATTTAATACAAATAATGTAAAATTTAAGACAAATATTATATATATCTTATCTCAAATTTTACCAATCACTATTTTTTGCACTCTCTATCACCTCATTTCCCTAAACCAACTAAATTAATTCATTCAAATGCTCATACCTAACCAAACCCATCTTATCAAATTAATAAGCATTTCAAATAAAGTAACGTGTTGATACATTGCACCATACTTAGTGTAATCGAATTGATTTTATATTTTTATTATGCTTTATAATAAGCACTTCAAATATCATGCTTTATAAATATGAGGGCATGGATATAATTCAAAATTTGAAGACAAAAATAATAACAATGTAAGTAAATCACTCAAAATTTAAGTTAAAAACTATATCTTCAAACACTTTTGGGTCAAAATATTTTTACAGTCTTTATCATCTCCTTTAAATAAATTTAAAAAGAAAAACAACTAAATATTCCAATCTCCATGCATAATCGAAATCCTCTTATCAATTTAATAAGATTTTAAATAAGGAGGTTGGCGATACGTTGTACTATACTAAATGCAATTTAACTCATTTATATTTTTATTATATTTTATGATTATATATATATGTGTGTGTGCACATACATAAAAACCCTAGACAGAAGGGAAAAGACTATAGACAATCTGCAAATTGGCATTTAATTCTGCTATAGATGAGAAGCTATCAAGCAGTTGGAGACGATGAGCAGTCGAAAAGTAAGAGTAAACTAATACTTATGGAAGAAAGTGGAGGAAATGAATCACTGCCGTATCCCTTTGCCATTGCCCATTTGCTCGCGATACTCTAATTATTGATACATCATATTATCATGTACCAAACGAAAGACGAGGAGCAATAAGTACTGGTAGCAGTTGGGATATCCCTCGTATCAGAATGTTATAAGAATAAAGAAATCATTTACTTTTTTTATTATTTTATCACTAATTAAAAATTTTTTCATAGTAAATATTGTTCAATTAAATGTTGTTGTTGACAGATAGTTTGTTAGTGATTTTTGTTAATATACGCATTTTTTAGCAACTTAAATAAATAATAATAACAATACGTAAGGTATTAGTTAATTTTGAGATATTTAAATTTAATTAAAATTTAATTATTAATACCTTACTAGAATACAATTAAAATTCAATACTTAAAACTCGAATTCAATTATTGACACTTGTAAAAAAATTGAACTCGAATTAAAATTTGAAATAAATATAAATTTTAAATCAATTTACATATACTATTAATGAAAATTAAATTACTAAATTAAAATTAATTCATAAAAAATAAATTAAATTTCAAAATCAGTTAATTACATTGATTATACATAATGTATAAATAGAAAAATAATATATAAAACTAAAATTATTATTTATAATGAGAATCAGTTATTCACATCAAATCATCATCACCTGAACTCGTTATAGATGGTATTGTTACTATTAAACATTACTCGAATTTGATTATAAAATATTTTAATCTTATTTAATCAGATTAGATAATATAAAATGTTTTTGTCATGAAAACCTTAATTAATATCGATACCAAACCTCACAGTAACAAAGCTGGACAGGATAATTAGAATAAGAAATAGTACGCAGGGTTAAATAATGTATACAACAACAATACTATGTTTTTTTATATAAAGAACAAACTCGGGAATACGAGGGATGGAATGAAAAATTATACGAAGTAGGGAAAGAGTTAGGAACTACGACCGACAGGCAACCTGGGGATTCAGACAGGACACGGGGCGACATCTCTTTCGTGGGATCGTCCCATTCAAAAAACACTATACTGTTGAGGGCAGAGTTATTGCCCCAACAGCCTTCTTTAGTTAGGTTTTAAATATGATTTTATTATCAGTAGGACACCACCCCATTTTTCTCTCACCGTACGTGATCCCATTCTCTTTGCCTCTTTTATTGCTTTTTCGCTCCCAATACTTCTTTAATTCTCTTGATACACTATTAAAATAAAGGAGTTTACTGTTGAATTTTTTCGTCAGTAATTGGAGATTTCACAATAAGTCAGTATAGAAGAATATTTTATTACTTATGGTTTACTCCATCGGTAACTTAGCAAATTCGTTAATGTTTGATTTAATTGGGATTGATTCTTATCCATCAATGATTTATCGATAGATGATATAATTGACATTTTTTTTTGTATTTTTTGCAACTTAAAAATAAAAATATTTTAATTTTATTTTTTGAATGAAAGATCATATACTAATTATTTTATTTTAATTGTTGTAAAAATCAAAAAGGGATTCTTAAGATTAAGAGTAGTAATTTTGTTTTTATATGATCCTTTTAAGGTTATATCTCCTATGAATGCAATACCAACCATCTCAGTCAAATCTGAGTTGGATCATTAATTAAAATTGATAGGCGTTTCAATCTCCATACGTCCATTTGCTACGCGTATTTTCAACAATTAAAGCATTTTAGATGAAATTATTATATATATATATTTAAAGAAGAGATTCAAATTTTATTTTTTATAAAAAAATTATTAATTAATAAATTAAATATTTAAATATATGTTTATATATAAAAATTAAATTAAAACTTGTTTTACTACAGTTTTATTTACATTGTTTGCTGTTTAATTTTTTTTTAATATGGCACCATGTAATTTTTACAATAAACATTCCGTGAATAACTCTAGTACTCATAAAATTAAACTGTTAATTTTATTTAATTCTTGTTATTTCATTTGATAATTACAATATTTTTATCTCAAAAAAATTGAGAATTACAATTTGGAAAGCGGAATCGCATGTAAAAAATTGAAATGATAATTAGAAAATGTCTCTTAAATTAAAAGTATTCTAATAAAAATCTCTATAATTGTCGTCAGTTGATTTCGAATTCTAACAAGTGACCAATGGAAAGGAAAGGAGTATTGAAAAGTTTATGTCGTTACAGATGGAGAAATGGTACAAATAGATTGAGTAGGTCTTGAATGTTCATCAGTTATGATAGCATATCTACTAAAGCAGTTAGCAATGCCAGGCAGGGGAAACCCAAAAACCTGGAGAAACGTAGAAACAGCTAGGCAGACCCTGCAGATTTCTGCCTTCTTTAACTCTTAATGATTAAGTTGGATATAAGAACGGGATCCGAGTATTTAATTTATTAATTAATATATAATTTTTTACTTATTCAATCTTTCTTTTTTTAATTAGATAAAAAATTGAATAAAAAGAGCTAATTCTAAAAAATATCTTCTTCGAGTGAGCCAAATTAAAAACCTTATAATAATAATAATTATAATTATAATAAAAACATAATGAACATGTGAAAAAGGCAAAAACAAATCTTCAAGTGAAGTCAAATTACATGTTATTATGATGTGATGCATTTATATTAAAAAAATTTTCTTTTTTTTTTGGTACATGAGATTTTTGTTTTGAAAGTACGATTTAATTCTTGAATTTATATTTAATATACTATCATTTTATAATATTTATGTATTATCGATGAATCAAAAGATGTCACTTTATAAATATATAAAATTTATTTATTAACAAAATAATAATATTTAATTTATTAATAATATATAAATACTATATACAAATGATGTATTAGATATAAATTCTTAATTATTTTCTCAATTATGAAATTCAAATAATTGTCCTAGGTACCAAAGAACAAATTTGTAAAGCTAACAAGCTAGGGTTTTAGGCTACGGACCCATAGCTCGGCCGAGAAGCCAAGCTGTATCGTCTTACTCCAGGACGAAAACAAGACATTTCAAGCCTCTTGGGGCACAGCTAGCAAATCCATTAACGCGTTAGTCCATTTTTCCTTTCATAATCTAGCAATAGGGAGTAAAGGATTTATATTTGATGGTCTACTTTGTCTGTTGACCATAAAATGATTTGTTATTAATAAATAAAGGTAAAGTTTATTTTATATTTTTAAAAATAACTATTAATAATTTATAGTATTTAATTATATAAAACATTAAATCAGTTTCCTTTCTGTTTGAACTCTAGCTTTCATCCATTCTTTCGTCAAAGGGAATTTAGATTTTATAAATGGGTTTATATTTGATACATTATCCATGTATAAATCTTATATACTATCACTAAATCATTATCAATTCAGAAAGAAAGATTTTTGGAATTTAAATTATTTGTCTCATTATTTTAAGCTATTAAAATTTATGTATATTATTTTAAGAGCTTCAAAATTTTATAGTTTACTAATTAATGAAGTGAGAGAATATGATTACCAATAATTTATGAAATTTTTATACTGATAATATATCAAATATAAACTTTTAATAAATAATCAATAAAAACAGTGGTCGGAGTTCCGAACACGTGCTCATGAACCTAAAAGCATATTTTAAGCTCGTGCCATTATCGAGAGAGACCTTGGAGATTATATATATATATATATATATATATATATATATATATATATATATATATATATATATATATATATATATGTGTGTGTGTTGTATCCTGCAAAGCAAATTTTGCAGAATGTGCAAATCGATTGCATTCGGTCAAC